AACCAAAAAGTCCAGAGTGGCAGATCATAACAGGATAATTGTGCACCATTAGATGGAAAATTCAGAAACTGTGAAAAATATATTCTTCAAAAATGGTTTGTGGCCATCAAAATCCTTCAGTGTGATTTTATGGGTCAAATTGTTATATAAAAGCAATTAGCACAATTTAGAAGAATTTTGGATATTTGGAGAGGTTTGGAGATGCTGATGACACCAGAAGTTAAAACATCCATATGTCTGGCACATACCTGCTATCTAGCACTTCTTTGTTACTGCTATTCATTAAGGATTTATTATTTTGACTATGAGTCATGTTTTAACTGATGCAGTTTAGGCTGTGTTTTACTCCCACTCACACTATTTAGATTCTCAGAAACTAAAAGGCGTTAGCTTTCAAGTGATCAGACATGTAATTTGGCCTTGGTAAAAATGCAGGGAATATGGATGGATGTTAAGAAGCCTTTTAAATGTAGACATGACAGACATTGTTGTGTTTGGACCAAAAACTTTGGAAATAATCTGCATAGTAAGTCAGGTAATAATTTATAATCTTAAATCAAAACTATCCATTCCTTGAGGTGAGCAAAGAGTGGTCAGTTTATTACTTCAAAGCAACACTTTTGTAATTCTTTACTATTATGCAGTCAACAAAATGTTCAAAGTCTGGTGATCAAAAACACACCAGACAGTATTCTGGTGAAAATTGTAATATCAGATCATATTTCTCCATTTCTAACTTTCCATCAATGGTTTTTTGTTAAAGGTGTTAAATCTGATTTCTCTGACATTTTGCAGTTTGTTCATGTTAACATTAAACCTTCTTGACAGTACAGGGTTGCTTGTGGAGTACCACGGGGTTAAGTGTTGTTTAATATAGAAATGCGTTCAACATGTCAGTTTATTTAAATTCCATTACATTTCCAATATTGAACTTGTCTGAAATCTGTTAAATTGAAATACAAAAATCAAATGTTTCTAATGTAAGGGGTTAGGGTAAAAGAGTAAACAGAAAGCAGATCATATGGGATTGCAAGTGACTGACTCTAAATCTGTCAGAAGGATTAATAAAATCGACTTCATGTTTCTGCCTATAAAGAGCAGGTTTTGTTGTAAAGTTCCTTGTGGTGACTCTGGTTCAGGATCAGCTGTTTATCAAAAAGCAGAATCCAATCAGAGGTCTAGTTACATGTTAAATTGGTTTATTTTGTATCAAACCCAACTTCGCTTTATTTCTGATCAAACTAATGACTCTACTTCCTGTCAGTACAAGTATGACCATCTGAGCCCCACCTGGAAGCCCTCCACCAGTCTAAGCAGCAGACTGGTTACTAACAAAGGTAACAATGCTGAAATATTCTGGTTCTGATTTACTGAGATGGGAAGTAACGAAGTACAAATTCTTCGTTACTGTACTCAAGTAGATTTTTCTGATATTTTTACTTTACTTTACTACTTATTTTTATGGCGACTTTTTACTTCTACTCCTTACATTTTTACACAAATATCTGTACTTTCTACTCCTTACATTTTAAAAAATTGGCTCATTACTTTAGTATTGAATCATTTCAATGGAGTTACTGTTATTATTTTTCACATCATCAATACCAAATTCAATCTAATTGGATGGGAATCTACGTTTAATCAGTACTTCCACTTTTACCAGAGTATTTTTTAACACAAGTATCTGTACTTTTACTCAAGTACGGCAAGTGAGCACTTTTGCCATATCTGCTGATTTAATTAAAAAAGAGCTGCGGCCTGGATTATAGGCAACTTTTTATATAGACATTCAGGTTAAGAAAAAATAAATAAGACTGAATCTGAAGCGTAAGTTTTACTTCTCTGGTTAAGTTTCTACTTTTGTAAAGTGAAACTAAATTCCAACCATTCCCATAATGGTTGAACAGGTGTGTTTCCATTCCAACAGCCTCTCTCACGTTCTGTAACTACGTCCAAACATATAAAAGTGGCTTTGAGTTGAGAATCAGAACTTTCTTGGACAACCTTTCATGAGAAGCATTCAAATCCTGAAACATTCAAACTCATTCACACTGAAAACAGCTGGAACATGAAGTAAGTGATGGAATAATAAGAAACATTTGAAAACCTAACATAATTTTATTATCCCATTGTGTTTATAGGACTTTGTTCATTTTGTTCTGGTTCTTTTCAGGTTGTATCTTCTATACACTCACTGTCCTCTGCTTTAGTTTTCTCTCCTACTTTGACGCTTTTAATTTGGTATTTTCAAAGTAAAATCATTGAGTGAAACATAAAAACTGAAGGTTGTATTTCCTGATATACATCACTTTTAATTAAGCTTACACATTTATTTTGTTTCTTAACTTTTTATTTGGCTCAAAAATATTTTTATCCAGATAACTTCCCAGTTGTAGATATTTTCCCCACCTTTGTTGGACCTTAATTTCTGCTCTCATCATAGTGTCTTGCCTCTTTTTAAATTTATTTTCTCCTTCTTAAGAATATATCATATAATTAACTTCAAAGAATTTAAAAGCAAATTAAAATCACATATCTAATAAATCTTCTGTCTTCTACTTTATGTGATTTTCTCATCAGTTCTCCAGAGGCCTTGGAATCCAAACTGAAGGCCTTGCAGTGCTACTTTACCTGGAATCTAGAACCTACCAAGTTCAAAATGAACTATCTCAGGGATGCACTGGAGGACATCGCCACAGATGAGGGAAACATCTGGCTGGGTCACATCTACAACCTGCAGGGGTTCATCCAGTACA